TCACATATTAATCTTGTTCAAGGCTTTTAGAAATTTCACCCCTGTGATGGCCATTTTTGAAACATGCCCATGTACATTCCAGATGAACATGTACATGTGTATCCCATAATTTAATATGTGCATGACGTGTGTGAATACATCATCTGACATGTCTGAATGATCATGCTTGGGCATAGTACATGTACATGTACAGAATGTATAAATGTACTGAATACGTGTTGAAATATTCAATCAAAATTGGCTTACATGTATGTACAGTATCTGTTAGCTGACAAAACATCCTGCTTACTACACACTAATACATGTACATGAACATCATCTGAAGCATACATTATCATGTGCATACATGTATGTACATGTACATGTATGTATTTGACTGGAACAAAAAGCCAATCTGCTTTTTGTAATCACTTCCTCCAATTCAACCAATCTCATACCACTAGGGTGCAGCTCTTGACAGAATTTCTGTCAGTCTTTTTATCATCGGCAAGTTTTCAAAATTTGCAGTTCCACCTTTCTTTTGAAACAGGAATAATGGCTAGAATGGCATAAACAATGGCCAAAGTCATGCCTCCTTCACACATACCGGTAGTGTCCAAGGTACATACATGTATTGGGTAGCTGGAGACATGTACATGTATAAAAGGGTTCTGATTGATTGAATACTGAATTCTACCCTCTTTTCTCAAAAGAGAGAATACATTTAGGAATGAGCTCACGCTGACGCCTGACTGGTTCATGTCTGACGATTGTTGAATTAAGTGCACATGTACACCTACATTATATGTTTGTTCTGCAACACATACTCTGATGGGCTGCACACTGCCTCCCTTGAATACAGCCTCAATGCCATATCAAATCTCAGCACAGCCAGTATGCCATCCTTCATGTCCTTACTGCCTTATGACCTCTCACTTGGGGTCGACTCATTTACACCATGGAGGAAAGAATATACTCGTGTCCATATTATGCACACACAAAAAGCACTACTTTATGTGTGTACACATACTGTACAGTAGCGTGTGCCTAAGGTCTAGAACAATTAGACTTCAAGGATGAGAGACTTCATAGCAACTAACATGGTTTCTGAATTAAGGACACTCCCTGTCCTCAAATGTACAGTGCACAAGGACAACAGCATACTGTCCTTGTTTACATTTGAGGACAAGAAATATTACCCTCCTTACCATTAAATCTCCAGTCAGCAGGATAGAGGTGGCCTCATTATTAAGGCATATCTACCTTTAATAACCTTTTCAGAAGAGAAAAGGCAATCGACCATGACAAATTACCATGCACACGTGCTAGTCGTACACAGCTATAATGTATCAACGACAGGTACTGCACGAACAGGATGTGCAACATTCATGAACATTTAACACAACTACAGAAAAATGTACAGACTGTATGTGTTTGTGACCCTCGCTGCCTGCATATTTTTGCTGACAGCTGAAGGCAGAAGCCTTCCTGAACACCCAAAATCCGAACTTAGCATTCGATGTCACATCCTTTACATTTGAACGACACGGGGACTTGGAAGTTCAGAAAATAAACAACACATTAGCCGCACAGTTCTAAATCCTGCTTAGTACCAGTAGGTGTTTGATTTTGGACAATTACCAGCATAGGATGAATGAGCCTAGTCTGTGTCATTTCCAATTAGGCAAGGAGAACTGATGATCATGTACTAAGTAAACGCAGACAGGTTCATTTGAAAGTGCACAAGTTCACTTAAAAGACAAACCATTCATTTCAGAAATTTCAGAATTAAGTTTCCTTGAAGCCTTATTCCTGACCGGAATCCTACACATACACAATACATGTAATTGTGGGTTTTAAGTCATTTGATCCAACAAAATAAAAGGCAGAAGTGAATGCACTATTAAACAGAAAAAAATAAAGTTAAAGATCAATCCAATACTCACACACTATCAGCAACACACCACCACAGAATGTATCTATACATGTACAGTGTACTAGTATCAAAAGGTAGTCAGGGGGGTGGTAGTACCAGCAGGTGAATGTTGTGCATTAGGGTGACCATGTGCTAGGCCTTCTAAATTACTGTGCACTGTTTATTTTCCAACAGTTTAAATTGCAGACACATGTAAACCATGTTTATTTCTTCAAGTTTTTTGGGTTGAAATAAAGGTAGTATTTCAAAATTATATTGCAGCAACTTGAAATGTATACATTTAAATACGTCTATGGTGGTACTTTCACAAACTTTAGCTCAGAGAAATGGAAAACAAGTGTCGACAGGAGTTCATTGTCAAAGAATACATGCGGTAAAGAATGAACATAAAAATCTTGGACTTTACATGTACCTGCATGCATTCAGCTTATTTAGATGCATGTAAATTTACGTTACCTCTATGCATGATGTACATGTACATGTATCAACTGTGTTATTGTTGACAAAACTACTAACATTCAGAATTTTCCAAGTGTGGTGTTTCACAGAGGCTAACATTCAAATTGCCATGTTTTTCTTTAAATCATTTCACTTCAGTTCAATTCAAAAAGTATTTGAAGCCAGGAATTGCCCACAATGGCAGCATTCTAGTTGAAAAATGATGACACAACACATACACACACATACAAACGTCAGTGATAGGCCGTTAGGTGCTGCTGGTTCCGGCCTCTCCCTTTTGATATCTATGTGTACAATGTACATGTAGTATAATAAAAAGGGGGAAATTGGGGACCAGACTCAACTAAGGGACAGAAACATCAAATTTAGTGGAGTTTTTACCTTTTAATCTGCAGACAGGACTTTGATGGTGGTCTGATGGATCTACTGATGCCGAACTGACTGATGAACCAAGCTTCTTGTGATCTTTTAAGCGCTACAGTGAAAAAAAAACAATATGACAGAAGCGAAATATTGTTTCAAAAGACTGGAGTCTCTGAGCAAGTGAAATGTATGTGATTGACATCCAATCCAAACAGTGTTCAAGAAGTTACCAAGAGCCCCAAAAAGTAGCACTAGAAAGACAAGCTTCCTTCCTGACAACTGAATGGCAACCTGACTAATACATGTACATGTACACTGCTTGAGAGTGCAATGCTGTTTGTCACACAAGAGTCATTATAACACAGGCCTTTCTTTAGGTATATTCGGGTAGTTCATTTTACTCTGGCCTATCGGTGATATTTGTGTGAAGGGCAGTAGTTATTGCTACACCGACGTTGTTTCAGTCGGATACCTGGTTACATGTACATGTAATTACTGTATTAAGTAATGGCTCAGATAACAAAGAGACTTAGGGACCATACTTATTGTTGGCGGGTAATCTCACATTGAGCGTTTTTAAAGAAAGTTACTGAAGTTACAGTGCAAAGTTTTGATTGGATGAATCGATATTGGAAAACCCCGTTTTGACGTCTTTCTGCTACGTGTACACTTAGTCTGCCAATACATTGTGTTTGTAAGCCTGTACTCAGCAAAGTCGTAAGTTGTTTGGCTGCATACATATACATGTACATGTACCTTTCATTAAAACATTCAGCCCTCAGTTTTCAATCCATTGCAAACTACATTTATTTACATGTACATGTAGGTCGATTTGTCCTCCATTTTAGCACATGTAATTATGTTTTTTTATGTACATTTATTGTGTTTATCTTATTAGAGCCTGATTAATTACCACCCTTTCATGTGAGGTGTAATTTTCACAACCTGATATCACGTTGTGCTTTAATTTGGTTAATTCCAGATTAAACCTAGTTAAGTTCCACATGGTGACAATGATGATATGTGTGGGAAGTGTCAATGACTCAGTGAAAGTGTAGGTTAATTTTTGCAGATGGGATAGCAGAGAGCGTTACAGTCATTCATAAATTTAGCAAAAGTTTCGCAAGTTTTTATCAGATCTGTTGGTGTACATGAACATGTACAGGTGGATCTGTACAAGTGGTTCCCTCAGAATGACTCCCTACCATGTTATAGGAAACATTACCAAAGACCAACTCCATGGGGTCTATTCTACAAATACTGACTGCTTCAAGTGGTGTAGTAAAACTTACATGTACCTTTCAAGGGAATCCATGGAACATTCTATTTTTGCAGACGAAACTAGAATTCTCCATGGATCACATAGAGAAAGACGAATTTTCTGTATTTCAGGTTTACATGTCTATTTCACTTCTTTCCATTAAAAAGCAAATACAAGTACGTGTACATGTAAAAGTAAATTTGATAAAATTAGTGTTGTGCTTGTGTTGCATCATTATCCTCTTTTTCTTATCGATCTGTTTGCAGTGCTGAATAACTTAAAAAGGCTCTCCAACATTCGAAAACCAGACACTGGATGACTCCTACACTTTGACTATTGGTAAATATACAGCATATCAAAGTGGCTAATATACATGTACATGTACACATACATGTATCACGGTAGGTGTAGCAGGTTGAATTGCACTTTCAGTCAATCCTGTGCAAAATTTTCAGTTTTACTTGGCCTTTTCAAAACAATATTCCACAACAATAAATAAGAAAAGATGACTGACTGATGGCAGCCGGATTGACAATTTCATATAGGATCCACTAATTTCATAGTACAGATGAACGACTGTGCAGATCTAACTGGTCTTAAAAAACCTCACTAAAAATGGTTTTTACCTCACTGGCTCTGCCCTGTGGCTGTGCTCAAAAATACAGTCAACACCAAAATGAACAGGGACCCACGAGGATGAATAAAGCCCTTTTCACATGACGACAAAAAACTCGCAAGGTTTAAAAACTGTTCTCATGCTTGAGAAATCTTTAAAAAAGTGCTATCGTGTGAAAGGTCGCCAATGCTTGAGAGTGACAAGCATTGCTGGTGAATCCTTGAGATATTTTGGAGGAGGTCCGGACCTACAACAAAATCTTCTGCTAGCGGAGGATTTCTCAAGCACCCATGAGAAACGGTTGTGTGAATGGAGGCACTGTTTATTGTACAACGTCCCCTGTGATAACCTACACAGTGCGCATGCAGTGCGCGCGCACCCTTTAACTTCGTTTCAGGTATGTCCTGTGATCGTGGCACTGCTCACTGGTGCAATTGGGAATACCTCCCGCGACTTCCCGCCACACGTGGCTATTGTGGACCATGCCGTCCATGTTCGCCTTAATCGCAGCGTTTTCCATAGCAGTTATAACGCTGAGAGTCTCATCATACTCCCAGTCCTTCATGGAACTTTTCTGCTTCTTGGTACTCCCCGAAACATCGGTTTCGGGAGAACGTTTTTTCGTCTGCAAGTTTGACTCTGCAGATGTAGCGTCAGCCTTTTTTCATTGATGGTCTCCAACCTTTGACCTCACATTGCGCTGGTACTAGCGGTATTTGCACTCAGTAAGTGTGGAGTTCACCGGCAACCTGCAGAATAAGCTTTTGCGTCTCAAGGAATGCTTGCGAAATGTTACACAGTGCCATGTGACAGGACATGACCGCGGTTTGTAAAGTAAACAATCCCTGCTCCGAAATTGTCTCAAGCTTTGCAAGTTTTTTTGTCGTCGTGTGAAAAGGGCTTAAGAAACAATGTCACAGGTCTAAACCCCACAGAAAGGTCTGCTGTTTGTGACAAGGCACTCATAGCAGCATCTTGTCATAAACAGTAGACAAATACATGCACATGTACTGTATGTACCCAAGGTGCTTGACACTTACAGTACCCGTCCAGCGTAAGTACGTCTCAAAGTGCGCCCTGGTTATGTGAGGTAAATGTGGGGAGGGCAAGATGTCGGTTTTTTCCACGAATGTCTCGCCCCAGGTCTTGGTCAAGAAGTCCAGTTCCCGCTTGGCTTTCCTGGGATCGTTAAGAACAGCTGGGAGGTTGACCTGGGAACAGTAGATCGTCCATTTGTGTTGATCATTGACGACAGAAGGTACAGAGGAGGTGGGGCTGTCTGACGAACTGCTATTGGAGTTTTTCCCTAAGGCATCTGGTGGTAAGCCGGAAGATACATGTATGTACATAAATACAGGCATGCATTTTTAAGTTATGTACACAATACATGTAAACATGGTAAATACTGACATACTGATGATTAACCACTTGTTGCCGGGGAGCCCGGTTTTGGACACATACATGTATTCTTTATATGCACAGGCAGGGTGTCCGAAGTCGGACAAAGGGAACTGGGCCTTGTAACAAAAGACCGTACTTGTAGCAAAAGACCAGGCTGCTGGGAATTACCAACATTTTTTTCACTGCCAAGAGTGCTGCGGATATAATCCAGCATTGTTTTGAAACATTGTTTGTGGCATTCAGTGGGAGCAGATTACTACCAGTACCTGGGACAAAAGAATTCCACCGCAGAGATGAGCTACACAGTACCACATGCTAATCTGGCCCCTGTTGAATAGATGTCAGCAGTGCGCTGTGCCAGTTTCAGGAACAAAAGAAAATTACGTAATACCGCACAACCTGGGCTCTATTTACAAGGCGGCAGGCCTGGCTGAAATACTCCAGCGTCAATAGATGTTGTCTGTCAGATTAGACACCAGACAGTCATTTGTGTGGGTGTAAGTGTCCAGTAAATGGAGATATGAATTTTTGCAGAATTTTGAAAACAGAAAAAAATGACAACTACCCTAGCCCAGCAGAATCAACAACCCAAAGTGGTTAACATGGTTAAGAAGGCCCAGAGCTCATTTGATTCATTTTCTTTATGCTGTGAATAGATTTTTGAGCAATACTACTCACCAGCAAGAGAAACAAGGGAATGATCCTTTGCAACATGTGATTCATAGTCTCCATCACTCACTCCCTCTAGTGGCAGCGTTGCACAGACACCGTTCAACCCATATCGGCACACAAATGAGCCTCCTTCCTTAGTACAGTGGTACTCCCTCAAGTGCAGGCAGAAATCTGCTGGGTTTTTGAACGTCAATGCACACAGTCGGCATGATTTCCAATTTGGCATGTGACCCGGCGTGGAATTAGGAGTTGTCCTTTGTTTAAGGAACCCCAATTCAGAATTCGAACCTGTTCTTTCGTGTCTACTTTGGCGGTGGGATCTTGTCATGCTTTTGTTGCTGCCGCCTCCAAATCCAGCTTTTGCGTTGGAGCTACTGGTAGCCGACGAACTTGATGGTCTACTGCCGTGTTGCTGTGCATTGTGAACCTGCTTCAGCCTAGCCGGATTTGAATGCAGCGACGACTGTGAGTGTGTGCGACTTTCCCAACCACTCATGACGTCTAAATTGCTCCAATATTCAAACCAGCAAAACACTCACAATATAATTCCACTTTCTGGAGCACACGTTATACATGTTTAGACTTACACAACGAGGTTACCAGTATTATTATACGGAAAACCAAGTAATCTGGCTATGGAGATGCTCCACGTAGCTAACTACGCCTAGTGAATCACTATTTTGTTCATAACACTTGTGATTAATCCATACAGTTCAGGGAGATAAGCAAGATTCGTACCCACGATGCAGTGCGCTTAGACTCTTTTACAGCCGTCACTCCAAATGTTCACGCAATCGAGACACTGATGTCTACGCGTCAGTGAACCATAACCACCTACATTACGGTTACGCAAAATCCTGACATTCAATTCTCAATCGTCCACATGCAGTACCGGTACAGTGTTGAGGTATCAGAAGATGATGACGTTAGGGGATTGTCAGACGGGGCGGCCGGAGTAGGGGAGTACCCCTACCCCTCATCCCCGTTTTAGAATTGGTTATTCAAGATTTATTTCATTTTGTACTGCATAATAATCACACACGATAATAAAACTTGAATATTTATTCCTTTGTAAGTTATAAACGAACTAGAAAGGTCACTAATCATTGGACTTCCACCGTGACGCACGAAAAGTTGTTGGGGGGAGGGGAAACAGGTTAAAAAAACTGCACCTTTTTAGGTCAGATTTTAAGAAAAATATTCAGCGCCCAGGTTTATTAAAAATACGGAGAAGAGACGGGGCTTCTTTGTCATCTTCAAGATGGCTGCCACTTCCATAGGCGTTTGTGCAATTTGCAGCCATAGCTATATGCAGACATTCAAAGATGTGTGAACTGGAGTTCACAGTCACCGTAGTCTATTAATTTAGAAGTTCCGGCTTACAAATGTTTCATTTCTGATTGAACAGTTGACATCTTTGCTGTTTTTAACAAATTACTAAAAAAATTAATTAATAAAATTTGAGGCGGCCCCCAAAAAGGGAGCGGGCAGGGACACTAAACGTGTTAATTATTGTTTACTTCGCTCTACAGTGTCTTCGTGCAGTGTCCTACGAAAGAATATGAGCCGGATTCGTTCAGAAAAGGAGGCAGGGGTAACATAAGACTGGCAAAAATCTGTAAATCCGGGGCTCAGTTGGGTTCATGGGTGAATATCTCCTTCAGTTCCTGATTCATCTCGGCAGTTAAGTTAATTCAAATGCAGAAATGAAAACTTGAAAGTTACACGTTCATGCTCTTTCAAATGCTATCCAACTTCACTTGTATTTATAGGTTGTAGTTCCCCCCCCCATATCATTCTTGACTATACAGCCAGAAAAAATCTAAATCCATTTACAGTTGTATTATCCTGTAAGTTGGGCCTGCTGGACACAGACTCGGTTTCTGCAGTATAAGTTTGATATCTTGTCAGCTAAATCACAATAAGTGCTGATGTAGAAGCAACAATCTTAATTTTACACTAAAAACTAATTCGACCATTAAAGAGAGGGTGACCAATCATTCCATCCCTTGTTTCACCTTAAACAGATCAGCCGAGATTCAGGCACATAATTGCATTTTGACTAATACCAACAAAGAGAAGGCACGTCAATGCACTGACACTGTGCATCTGAGGGGAATTTATTTAGAAAAACCAACACTATCACTTTCTCTGGTGGAAACAGGCTTCCAGCGAGTGTATGCCATCAAGGATATAAATTACATGTACTTCACATCCAAAGTTTTTTTGTCTTCAAATGTAATCTTTGTGACCACAACAGTCCTTACCAGGCCTCAATTACTAAATGGGAGTCCCATGCCCAATGATTAGGTATGCAAGTTTTCTAACTCTACAATTATTTTTGAAACATGCATAAACTGTTTTATACAATTTAATATAAATAATAAAGAGAGAAAATTAGTGAAACTACTGTGTACTGATGAACATTAAAAGGAGAAATAAACAACTTTCATCTGGGGTGTATATCTTAATACATTAGTCCCCAAAGTTACATATGCATTCTTCTCATAATTGAACAGTAATTTAGCCATACAGTCTCAATATATTTTCCACTGAGCTCAAAACATCTGTCACAGTACCAGGTAGTAAACTAGAAATTTTGATTTTAAAAAAATGAAGTTTTTATTTGTTCAGCGATGTGTATAGACATAAATAAATGTTGTAAGTCAGAACAATATAGAACATAACTTCATCAATGTTAGAAACATTCCCTCTGTGTGTTTAAATAAAATGAAGTAGGTTTGAATAAAGTTTCAATGCAAATGTACTGATTGCAATATTACTGTAAACCACATTACACTCAGTATAGTGATGTCATCCATTTTAAACATCAGATTTGGCACATCCTACAACAGCAGTCCTGGCAACAAATAGGAACCAATCTATGTAATGCACATTGTTTACTCTATAAATTTCAAAGGAAAAAAGGAAAGTGAGTCCAGTGAGTTGTGACATGGTCAAGAACCTGTACAGCCTGGCAGATCGGAGGGAGAGGGCAAGGGGTGCAATAGGGGCCATCCTCCCTCTCCCCCCCCCCAAAAAAGATGTGCAAAGCATGTTTTAGTTTTTGAGAAAAATTGACAGGTGAAGTCATTTTTCTTTCTTTCTAAATGCATGTAATCCCCCCTAATTTAGCCACATTTCTAAAAAAGAAGCCATAAAAGGTTAGGCCCCAACATGTAGAAATGTCCGAAGTTGTTGACCTGAAAAAAAAAATATTGGCCACTGTGAAAAATTGGTTCTGCATCCACCCTTGAAGGTGCTAGTGGTTTGAAGAACAGTGATCGAGTTTGGTCAGATTTGTTGATAAATTTCCGAGCAGACACACAAAAAAAAAAAGAGTTAAATGATGAAAATGCAGAGCTTTTGAAACCCTGTAGCACAACCTAATTACTCAACATAAGTAAGGCTTGGACTGGCTGTGAATCCAGACTGTACACTGAGTGAAACAAAGTTAGCCATTTGAATTGAAAAAAGAAAAGAATCAGATCTTAACCAAACTTTGCATGTTTTCCTTTCAAACCCTAATCTATCATCTCTCAAAATGTCGACGGTAAAAATTTTCCTCCTTTTGGTAGTTGGAGCAAAATGTCTCCCTAATGACCGATGTCTCCCTAATGTTGAAAAATTTACCACAAAATGTCTCCCAAGTGACCTACTTGGAAATATAATCATTCCTCTGAATCTGAATGAAAATAACAGGACACTGTGTAAGGGGTTTTAAACAGAACGTATGCACTGTGCCAAATTAACAGATAAACCACTCAACGATAAAAATCAAATTAATGCACTTGAAATATCAACAGAAACACAAGTTACAAGGAACAGAGTCATAGATACTCAAACGGTAGTGCTCCTGGGATCATATGCTTAGTATAGATACATTGTAGTTTACTTTTCAAGTTCTTAACGCTGTCACTCATATCATACTCATTAGTGCATCCTTCAAAAATAAAAATACCTGCAGATACCTCTCTGCACAACACAAGCATCTCTGTTAATAGAACTTTTAACATGCAAATTTTACATTACACTGTCAACCAATCAGGTTTGGCTCAGATCAGAGGTTAAAGTAACTCTCAGGGAGACCTGATTCAATCCTTCATAAGATGACAAACAGAAGAAAAAAAATGAGTCATGAACTAAAAATGATTCTAAAAACTAAACAAGCCAGCAGCCGATATCAATAGTTCGGGAAATTATGTATTACAGTTCAGCCAGTATTTCTGGATTTGAATTAAAGATTAAGCACCACTAGAGATGGCATGCAGTCTCTGTAGGAAGGTTATTCAATATGAGCGACTGGCTCTGTTGCCATGTGTGATGAGGTGCAATGCATTGCCATTGCTTTAAGCAAGAATATGAAGCATATCAGCAGAATGTGAAACACCACAGCATGGGAGGGGCTACGAGTGGAGCCCCACCCACTTTCACAAACCGACCTTTCCCTCAACCCTACTCCAACCCCAAAACCCAACCCTCTTAAATTCTACATGCATGTACACCATTTAAATGTCATTTGCCAGAGATATAAAACTCGTTTCCACTAGACGCTGAACCCTACTACACATGTACCTCTAAGCACCAATCTGTCCAAAATCCGGCATAGACAACAAGCATATTTTTAAAGTATTTCCAGAATTCGATGCGTCCCAATTCAGGATTCTATTAAAGCTCTTAAAGTGCCACTGCTCTTGGGCAATTAACTTTCACAAGTCACGGGACCATTCTGCATAGCTGACTCCGTTAGTAACGGGTAGCATTAGACACAGACTGTGCTCGAACATCATTAAAATTTTAGTCTGGTATAGTACATTCACGTACAGCATCACAAACATTAGTTTGAACAAACTGGGTTAGAAAATTGTTTTTTCGCCCATAATTTCAACCTCTGTAATGGCCTCCATGAAATAAATGACAAGCAGCAATGTACTATGAACGTTTATTAGGACAAAGAAAAGAGTGCTATGCTCTATGCAGGTCAAGTTGCATTGCACCTGTGATGTCAATATCACCATAGTCGTATCTCCTTCTGAGACTACAGATTCTGCCAGTCGATGGTCAGGAGCGAATTGTTGGCTTCTAGTCTGTGGGCTACCTGCGAGGGTATACTGTGGGACAGCCAGGTCTGATGTAGCTGGTTGTAGTGCTCCTGGCTCAGGTGGAGAGGGTTGCCACGCCTACAATACAACAAAGAATAATCCCCAGAAAGAAATAAGAAAAAAAAGGTATTTCATATTTTGGGGCTTTGAGCGAGAGACAGGACAGGGAGCCTTGTCACCAGAGCCACGCCCATGTTTCAAAGTTCCACTTCGTCCCCCCATCTTTGGTCTAACAGCCACTGACTTTGGAAATTCTGATCGGATATATGTCAATGGCGGTGTTTACATCAACTGGCTGCTTCTCGAAGTTCTGCACATGTCTTTTGAAAAGTGGCTACAGCTGCGTGCCAGTAGAGGCTCCATGGTGCACATGCTATCTCCAGCCGCAGCCGTGAAATTTGGACACAGTCAACATTTATGCTAGAGAAAAACATCGAACTATGCGATCATAATGCCACAGATATGAGACATCCCCACTCTTTGCTCTCCTTCCCTCACTCATTCCTCCTTCCCCAACCCCCCCACCCCCAAGAAAAAAAGCCTTCTGGGAAAGTTTCATTCAGCGCATGCTGCACAAATTATGCTCACCTAAGATTTAAGTCTGGTTCCCCATATTCATCCAGATAGGGTGTCTGGTGTACAGAGCCTTTGTTCTTTGCCGACATCATCAGAAGCTGGCACTCTCGCACTCTGCGATACAAGAAAATCAATCCACATAAGAGCAAAACAAATGTTAACCAGCTAACTCTGAGATGTTACACAAGCATGCTAATTTTTTCCAACTTCATTGCCCCCCCAAAACAAGGTACTTTTAGTACTGAAACTAGTGATAAACAGCAACCATCGGGCAGTATTTTTATCAAACAACTTCTGATAACATTCTAATAAAAATGCCCAACAAGGTAGAGAAATCAGAGGAGTTAATGTGCTCTCACAGGGATGGACACAAAACCTTAGCTGTAAAGTCAAATTTCAGCAAGACGTCTTTGATTTCTGCAAGCCCATCACATGAGCAAGGATCTCCGGAAATCCACACTTTGCCACTATCCAAGCTTACCAAGCCAAAAAGAGCACAGATGAAGAAGCAAAAATCACAGCACTTTAACAAAAAAGCCAATATGCATTCAGAAACAACCCTTCATCTGTTAACCCAATCCACAAGGCAGGGAATGATCTTGCAAACCCTTGTCATTCTCACCTCAGGTACAGGCCCACTCCAGCCCCGCAGGTGATGGCATGGGAGGTACAGGCGCCGACCGTCTCACCATCAATCTCCGTCTGACAACAGTAGCTCTGTGAGCAGACCACAGCACCGCACACCAGGCACAACGCAGGAGCTCTGCTGTCACTCTGCGCACCGCTGGCCTTCGGACACCTGGCAAGAAATACAAGACGAACTTGTCACTGCATTAAAACCCTGAACAAAATCTGCAACAAAACTGCAGATGTAAGGAGGCGACAGCACCACAGACTAAGAGCAGTGTTGGAAATCTACACCTAATTTCTCTTTGAGCACCAAATACCATCAGACATGTGAAAGGGAGGAGAAAACACATATTGAGAATATGATTAACCCTCCTATGTGGAATTCACTCTTTGGGTCATTTGGTGAACACCTCA